TCAAGCAATATGTATGTAACAGGACAATAGCTGGATATACTCACATATACGATCTGACCACCGACACACATACACAATCAGGAGACGTTCTTTTCTCATACACACTCTACGGATTAAAGCAAAACTATGTCTGTGTACTATTGACCTCACACTTCACCACTTCACAGCTGCCCTTGTGGATACAATACATGTCTGGGCTAACAGGAAGCGAATTTAATGAAACGCAAGAAGGCGTTATTGAGTCATCTAACTTGTCTCAGGTCTGGTGTGTAATCAGTTGTCAAGCAAGGCAATCATACACTTTCTGTACAAATGACAATTCCTAAATGCTTTGGCACGTGTAATGCACTACGGTTCACTTCTGTGCTCTGTCGAACTCTGGTTTCCATAGTAACACAAGATACAGAGGCGGGAAAATATATTTTTTTAAATATGTTCATAAACACTAATATCTTGTTTGTACTCCCCACCCCATTCATCAGCTCCTTAAGACACAACACAGCACATCGCCACGCCACGCCACGCCATATCACACAACGCTACGCCACACCACGCCACGCCACGCCACGCCACGCCACGCACCCACCACACCCACACCACACCCACACCACACCACACCACACCACACCACACCACACCACACCACACCACACCACACCACACCACACCACACGTCCTGTGATGCAGCAGCAGCCATCGTGAAAGTTTCACCATCAAAGATCATATTGTATCATTTCATGAAACGATCGTATTTCATGCTTCAAATGTAGAAACAACGCTATAATACTGCTTTGCCCTATTCCGGTTTGTCTTTCACTTAGGTATGAACGTCACATTTATGGTGACATTAATTCCGTACGATAATTCTTCGTTTGTTAGTTATGTTCACATTAAGTAGTCAGTAACAAGTATAATATGCTCCACCCACAAAACGTGTAACATGCTGACACACATGCAACTTTGTAGGAACATTCATAGTGATCAGTTTGTCAGGCTTTCAGGGTAAAATAGAAAATTCTGAATCACTGTTCCAGTAATAAGAATAACATGACAACGAATTATCAATTCAACAAACTAGACCCTTTCTTCCAATGTCTAACATCATCACCTAGATCCGAGTTCATGTGTATATGTACTCGCAGGCGTGACTCATACTCATAACTGTGTTAAACCTGTAGTGTTCAGGTTCACAGTCCAAGTGACCCGTGAAGATCTGGGTAAGAATTCATCTTCAGCAACCCACGCGGGTGGTCAGGCTTTCTGACGTGGTTGACTTTGTCGCATCCGAATTTCGCAGATCGATGCTCATGCGCTTGATCATTGGGTAGTCTGGTCCAGACTCGATGATTTAAAGACCGCCGCCATATGACTGGAATATTGCTGAGTGTAGCGTTAAATAACACACCAACCAACCAAGCGTTGAAGTTCAGATACATATCCAACATCAGCAAAGGTGGCACAGGACACAGGATGCAGCCGTACGTAGTATACTGTCCCCATAAAAGAAACGCATATGTCAGAAATCTGTTGCAAAAATGTTGTATTTTCAAACATGTATAACTCGTCCACAAACAGAAGTTAGTGCCTGAATTGTTACATCAGTTTAGAAGAAATGTCTATACAATCAAGTGGATATTTTTAGATAACGGAGACGTTGAGCACGATAGTGACGACGTTACACGGTCCCGACGTCGAGTCTCCTAGTTCTCAGTCCAGTCTCTCTCAACCTGTACCGTACAGTTTGACCGGATATCCGCCGAAGTCCAGACACCCTGGCTGCTGTGCTCTCACCCATGGCAATACGATCACGCAAATGTAGTACCCGGATGTACCCATCTTGGGTTACAGTGGTGTCTGCCGGTACGGGGACGGTCATTTGTTATACCCGTTTGGTTGTAACGAGCTGCAAGCCGTGATGTCGTGCTCAGACTAGCATTCAGACGCCTGGCAACAGAGGATTGGTAATCACCAGCGTGCATTCTTTCAATGGCGATGTTCCTTGTCGCAGCGTCAAGACGTGGCGTAGTGATTTGACCTTGAAACTCCTTCAAAATGCCGATTTCCGGAGGTAATCTGGATTTTTAAAGCACAATTTCAACTGGAAAGCGATTGTTGTTGCGTTGTGGCGATGCGTTTATAATTCTTGTAAGAAATATCATCAAAATCAACATATGCAGGTAAAGTCGATTTTTCACTTGTTCAATTGTGTAAAATCATGTTAACAACACTTTGGTTGCATATTTTGACGATTGTTTGAACGCAATAGGTAAGTAATAGATTTTTAAGAATACAAAACGCCTATGCGCTTTTTGGGGAGGATAGTATATTATCATTGATAATCATTTGTCAAGCAAGACTAGCGAGTGAGTGAGTTTGGCTTCATGCTGCTTTTAGAAATATTCCTGAAATATTGCTGAGGGTTCAAACAAGCAAACGAACAAACAAACAAGCATGACTCTTAGCCGTGATATTCTCATGACTTTGACCTAGGATATTAGTAAATTAGTCGGGTGATGTCCTTTCAGGCGTTGACAGTTCTCGAGGAAGTCCATCACTGGAACACATTTGGTGTACATGGGCAGTCATAGCTGTAACTTTGATAGAAAAAATTGCTTTGCGTTCTTCTTTGGAGTGGACACTATATGTATAGTATATGTTACCACTGCTTCGTCGTCATTAATCCATCCAAAGTCACATCCTCCAGGACACTTACCAGTCATTTTGTCAAGACTTATGGATTCGAACAACACACCTCCACACAGGTTCCAGTCAGCAACCCTTACAGTGCGTATATCTTATCTTAGGTCATTACCACCGACATATCCTCCATTGAAGCTATTTAGGGAAAGCAGGTATCACTTATGATATGCATGACCATGCCAGACAAAACATTTTAACGAATCAGTCCAACGTAAGTGCCTACTTCACACTGACCCACATTCAACGAATCAGTGATTGCACAGCTGTAAGTACAGATCAAGCAAAAGACCCAGAATTTCCAGTTTGCAGTAAAGAAAAAGTGTTTATCAAAGCCCATATTTGCCCTGTGAAGGAGTGCAGTTTGTAAAGTTCTGAATTGGAATTGATATACAGCCCATATAAAACATTCTACCATGGCTACGTGAAATGCTCGAAGTTGATTGGTCAATCAATAAAATTAGACGCTATCAATTTTGGATTGACAATGCGTCTGATTTCACAGCGCTTCACTGCGCACGTATACATCACTGCCGCACTACTTCAGCTTGGAAACCAACATGACTAATATACTCATGCCAATAATGGTTGTCACCCCCCTCCCCACTTCAACCCCCACCCCTATCCAATTAAAAATGAAGGGGTGACAATGTTGAAATGTTAACAAAAATACGAACGGAACCTACCACTCCCTTTACAGACGAGTTCAATTCGCCTCTCGTCCCATGCCGGATTACGCAGTGTATTCCGCAGGACGAGGAACTTCGATATTAAATCGGAAATGGTAGAAAGGAGATAAACGCACTGTGTTTGGAAATTAGATGAATGTTACACCGAACTGATAGTTTCTAAATTCGGCTTTAAATGTAATGTAGAGACTATCAATTTGGTCTAACATTCATCTAATTTCCAAACACAGTACGTTTATCTCCTAATTCTACCATGGCTACGTGAAATGCTCGAATTTGATTGGTCAAGCCACAAAATCAGACGTATCAATTTGGATTGAAAATGCGTCTGATTTCACGGCGCTTCACTGCGCACGTATACAACCCTGCCGCACTACTTCAGCTTGGCCACCAACATGACTAACATCAACACAACAGACGTGATGGAAATACTGATGAAACATTTATTAAAACTCGAAAAATACAATTATACGATTTCTCCACCACAATTATTAGGGGACGTCACTATCATAATTATTACCTTCTATTATAAAAATATTCAAACTCAATTACAATACACAGTCCCAAGCATAAACAAACAATATCTAACATATAAATCAGAAAACCTTGTAACAATACATCCCTATCTATTCCTATTTGTGCGGCAAAACGTTTGTAAACATTTACCTGCCGGTAAATGGTATATTTGTTTCCCTTTAGAATGGGAAATTCGCAAGATAACGGTCAGGCGAAACACAAAATTTGCCAAAATTTGACTCCATCATGTCCCGTTGCATCGTTCAAAATGTCAAAAACGTAACCATGAGAATTTAGTTCTCTTCCACCTTCCCCGAAGGCTGTCACTGCAGCTATGTTCGTACACTTTGAAAAGCTTGGCCAGAATCCAGTCCCAAATGATGAGAATAATGTTCCAAGGAATCCCAAGTTAGTCGAAGGTACACAAAGCAGCACTGTCACTCTTCCTCGCATGCCGGGGTGGCGGCACGTACGTGAAATCATGATCGAGGCTCGCCGGCCCGGTCATAAAAATTAACAGTCTTTGATGACTTACAGGTCATAGGTCGATCAGAAAAGGATCTATTCTTCGATTCTGCAGGGTTCAGGTTCGACAGTCAGTCAAGTATTTTCCACTGTCACTTCGAAATTCAACCTTTCGCAAAATGTAAACACTGGCTCGTCCGCCATTTCAAACTGTTGCGTAACTGTCTACTTCCAAGAAAATAAGTAGGTCAGACGATTCCATTATAGTGTGGACAGGGGGGTACAGTAACACGGCACACAAAACAATAGGCTGGTTTCGGTCTTGTGGGGTTATGATTATAAAAACCAAGCTCTTATGTGTTACATTATTGCATTGAATAAACAGTAGTATGTTTTCTTTGGACAGAATATTTTTTATGTTGCAATGTTAACAAAAATACGAAAGGAACCTACCACTCCTTTATCAGACGAGTTCAATTCGCCTCTCATCCCATGCCGAATTACGCAGTGTCTTCCGCAGAACGAGGAAGTTCGATTTCAAATCAGTTATGGTAGAATGGAGATAAGCGTACTGTGTTTGGAAATTAGATGAATGTTAGACCGAATTGATAGTCTCTAAATTTCATTTGAAGCCGAACGAGGCGCCAGTCTGGTGATCGAGCTTGAGGTGCTATGATTGAGCCCAGCTGTGAACGGGTGTAAAAACCTTGGAGTCAAGTCTGTGTGCAGACTCTTTCAGTGTTGTCACAACCCCTAGCGTACAGTACACAAACCTGTGCACTTAAAAGAACCCACGAATCCGTTGGTATATGACCGGATGGTGACCACATGAATAGGTGCACACACCTAGTTGCGTGTAGAGCAACGTGCAGTAAACTTGGACAAAGTAGTGTCCCAGTCCATCCAGATGTGAATGGGTACCTCGTACGGATGGAAAAGCCACATTAACTTGGTGCGCCTAGTGGCTGCAAGAGTTGTATGGTCCCCAGGGAGTTGGGATATATAATACGATGTGTGTCGTTGAGATTGGGGAAATACAAAGTGTCTGTGAACTCGGAGCTATTTTAATTTTATACGAAACAAAACAAACAAATAACAAAAAACAAAAATACAAAACAAAACGAAAAAACTTTGCAAGGCACCTGTCTATATACAGATTATGGGTAAATGCACCCGAGGATCAACAAATTGAAAAGTGGTATAAATCGACATTTGAATGAAGGCACTCTTGTACTGAAGGCTAAAGTCTGGTGTCCCTGCCTAGATCATTTCTGAAGATTGAAGTTTACATTTGTTGGATAGAATAAAGAAGGTGGGGGATACAACTGAGATTCGCAACGGTTGTATCAAAGTAAACGATACAGTAAAAATGTATTTACTTTACGTCGCTTATTGGGTAAAAATACATCATCTGTTACCATGGACACAGTATGTACAAGACGTAAAGAATGAGACAAAGTACATGTAATTTCATCTACTGTCTGATTCAGACAGTTTGTTGTTCTGTTTACGTGGAACTGTTGTTGCATATTTATCACAGATTGCCGTAGACGTTGGAATCACGGTTGTATTCCTTCACCATGTTATAGCACAGCTTGAACTGATCCTGCAAATGATGTAAAGTGATAGTCAGACAACGATAAACTGAAAGTTCCAGTAGTAAAATTAATTCAGAAACAATGAAAGGTGTTCAGATGCTACAGACATACATTCGCGAAAATGCATGTTGAAACCTTATTGGCCTTGCTCGTTATGACACCGACAGAGCGGTTTGCAATACCAAGGTGCAATTAGATGAAGCATTTTATGGGACTTGGTAGCAGGAACGCTGATATTGTCTAAAGTCATTTCAGTTTTGACAGCTTCTATGCTGCTTTGGTGCTGGCAAACCTAGAAACATAACGGGTCGGGATTCGAACCCATAGGTTTCAGGCGTGACGCCACTATGTATAGCTCACTGCAGCGAGTCCATTACTTACTTATTCAGTGGCAAGATATCTAAATGCCCCCACTTCATTCCACAGATACAGAGTAAACAGTGTCAACCCATACGACGTGAAATTCACCAGATGTTGAACGAAAAAATTTTAAGTTACAAAATTACACCACTCGGAAGACTGAAATATTTCACAATAGTGTGTTAGAAATGGCCAATCTACTCACAAGGGTCTGTATGAACTGGGGTCGAACACGCTGTAGTTCCCGAATGGTGAGAAAAATGTCCACTGTTCTGTCCAACTTCAACCCGGTGATGATGTTCAGGACGCTACAGAACACACCACTCGCTCCGGCGCCGTCACTGGAGTGAAAATCAACATTAAATCAAATCATCCATACGATTAAGTCACATAAGTACACTCCTTTGGGTGATGGTTGAAGCGTATTGAAAAGGCTGTCATAACGCAGAATATTTCCAACTATCAATCGTTTGTAATCCCACAAGGGTAATTCCTACAGTATTCATTCAAAGGTAATACAGTTTGAATAACAAGTGAGTGGGCGTGGGTTCAGTAATATTCCAGCAATATCAGGGCGGGGGACGCTAGAAATGGGCTTCACACATTACACCCATGTGGTCAATCGAACCCGGGTCTTCGGAATGACGAGCGAAGGCTTCAACCACTAGGTTACTCCATCGCTCTTTTAAATAACTATGTGCATAGGGTTATCCTGTCCTTGGTCGATGTTCATTGCCAATATACAATATCTCAATAAGCATATAATAATGCTATAAGCGACATATTTTGGACTCATTACACCAGCCTTGTGTTTAGTCTTCAAATTTAAGTTTTGCATCCCCTGGAACCGATATCATGATGTTACGTGCTGTGGCCTTTGTTAAAACTTCGAGCGACTTTACTGAACCTACGATTTCGGTCACAAAACAGAAACTTAACTTTGCACTAGTAAAGATACATTTGTTAAGCATCATAAACCAGATGTCACGCTGACGATAATATATGCTTAAATCGCATATAACATACGCATTAAACTTACTGACAGTGCACCAGAACCTTGTGGTCAGCACAGCTGATGATCTTGTCCACTCTACTGACCAGCTCATGAAGTGTTTCAGTGTTGGTCAGCATGTCCAGTGTTTGGAGACAAAACAAAGTGACCGACTTCTCGCTGTTCTGATTCATTGAATGGAATCAGAAAATGCAGGTTAAGTTTGAAGTTGTGCAGGAAATGATTAGAGGAAAACATACCTTCATCGGGATAATGAAAATCAATGAAATGCCAAAAGCAAAAAATAACCCTCTACCCACCCTGCATAGCACAACTGTGCAATGGCGAGGTAGTTATGGGACGTAAGGTTTTTTATTTATGCATTTTTCAAACTTGATATATCTTCCTACGACCGATCATAACATTCCTTCTGTTTCAGATGCTGAGAATAAGAGTGATATGTATCAGATACAATGTGATTAATACCTAATAACAACTCCCCCTATCATTGGTGATGTCAGTTTGTGTTAGAGCAATATTTGATAAATATTAACACACCTGCTCGCCATGAGCAAGGGTTAACTTCTTCTCCATGTAGAATTCTCTGTTTGAATCCGCTTCAACCTGCACAACACTGAATGGCCCCTTTTTCATCACTTTGTTTTGTTCAGGGTACATTCCGGCTGTCTCCTGCATACAAAAAACAATGTGTAATTTGGACATACATTTCTAATAGTAATATATGTGTAAATATCAAGGGGCCTTTCCAAAAACGAATCAAAGGTGATAGTGGAATATTTACCAGACAATACCTATATACCCATTTGACGAATATGAGAATTTTAATTGCCCAATTTTAATTGTCAATTTTCAAAAGGGGAGCTGAAACATTTCGACATGAAAACACATCATTGTTTCTCTTTTTTTCAAATCGTCGTAACAAAACAAAAGCTGAGATGTAATTCTTCTCAGTGATTATTGAGTGACATGTACATTGTTTACAGAAGCACCGACGTGACTAGACAGCGTCTGTCGTAACAAACTGGGAACATAAATATGCTTTGCAAAAATGGAGATTTATTGGATGGAAATAAATCTCAGTGCATCAATGAGACAAACCGTCCACATGATGCTAAAATAATGTATGGCTGTTAGTTTGATAATAAAATGAGATGTTGCCCCAAATATGTACCTGTGCGTCATCCAGACAGACGATGGTGAAACAGTCATGGTCATACACAAGTCTCCAGAAGTCCGCCACAGTGTCTGGTAGCGGGGTCTGGGTGACGATCAGGCTTGACAGATGCAGAGTTGACTGAAACAAAAATCATATGTTTGACAATGCCATTCTAATCTAAGATTTTGGAGTAGGTTCAATCGTGTTCGGATCATCGTATGTTGTACATGGTTTATTATGTAAGTTTGGAATTTACCTCACAACACATCCCGTGACATATATGTGTAAAGATGACGCACAAAACTGTATTTTTACAAACGGTTTTGGAAAACAGTCACTATGGCTGTAATTGTTTCGTATCTTGATGGTTATTATCGACTCACTGGTAGAAATACTCCGTTGATGTAGTCATTCCGCTTCTGGACAGGTGTACACAGATACGGCCTCGAATTATTTCCTTAAACATATGATACCACTACTTATTCGTCACGGCATAAGTAATTATTGTGATAGGTGATTTGGAATGCTTATTGGTATTTTGCATTTAACAAAACAAATCATTGTTCAGTCCGATTAGAAATAGTGTCGTTGCCACTGAATCATATACACTGCACATGTATAATGTGTTTCATTTGAATTAAAACGTTTGGATGGCTCATGTGTTTTGTTTGTAGAAAATAAACCTCGTCACTACATTTCGTTTACGATGGTGATCATCTTAAACGTGAAATGTTAGTCATGAAGACAAAACATTTTACTAAAAGCTGGTACTTTGACTTCGAACAAGCTGTTTGTACCGGGAAGAATATCGAAGTTCTCTGGAAGCAGTGCGTGTGAAGTTGTCGCTTCTGTAAGGTTAGATGCCAGCTCTCTCAGTAACTGAAATAAACGAAAAATGTATACCTGTTTACCTCACTGAGCAAAATACGACATGATCTAGCGGTTTAGATACTTTGGATTGTTTCTTCCGTATGCTTTGCTGAAAAATTGAATTGAATCAGCAGCATGACCTGGACTTCAACAAGGACTTGCTATTGGATACCTGTCCCTAGTATGGTGATCTGTCTTCAGCTGTTTGTGATCTATAGCCTATTTTTATATTGTGTAGTCCTCTATAGTTAAAATGTTTTAGATTTAATTTATAGTTTTACATTTATATTTGTGATATTCTAGTTTTTTTACTGTCCTTCGCTGACATGATTTTATACTCTATCTTTAATTATTGTTAATATATATGTTGTTTTAGTCACGATATGGCTGAAATATTGCCAGTGACTGTAAATTTTAACTCACTCACTATTGGATACCTAGAATTGGTCGACAAGGACTTGCTCCCGTTATACATTGAGTAATTTCTGCAGCGGGGACTGTTCTCGTCCCACTTTAAGCTGATCATCTACAGCAATACCTTGAATTCTTTCTCCAGCATGGTCTGCTGTTGAGTGGTGAAGGATTCTCTGAGTCCGAATGTTTTGTCAAAGTCTGGTAAAGTGTAGAGCGTTCCCCGACTGTGGAGGGTTTCCAGAACAACATCATGGACAAACTCGTACTGACTCTGAACAGAAAGGATTAACAGTCATAATTATGAACATATAGTAGTTCACATCAGTGTGTATATAGTATTGGCTGGTAGAAAGACTGTAATCTTCACGCAGGCCCACCTTACACGGGTCCCCTTACAAGGCCTGTTGACATGTTTGTAAAATATTTGACCTGATATGGATAGATCTTACACATACCTCTGTCTGGACCATGTTCATCCTGTTCTGTCTCATTTTGCCAACACACATGTACACGTTGACCCTGTTGTTACTCTCAGCTTCATCCATCAGGTAGTCCAGGGAAATGAATGCTCCTGTTGTCCCCACTCCAGCGCTTGAAACGTAAAAAGAAAAAACTTCCTGACAATATGACTTTGAGCCTAGTTATAAACTGAAGGGGAAGATCACTCCACAACAAGCACTTCGTTCTCTATACTCGTCACGAGAAAAGACGGCTGAGGTAACGTGAATGACGCGTCCAGGACCACAGGCGGCACATTCTGCAAGTGGTTGGATTCAAATCATGAAATTGCTCAAACATGTAATTTTCTGAATAAAATTAATATTTTATACTTATCCTGACTCATGCTTATTGCTTGCTTGTCTCCCTTTCCTTCCGAATGCTAGTGGAACACTTGAATCCCCTTTTGAAGCTCCCTTAAAAAAAGGGGACGTAAAATCACTCACCAGGAGTCATCTCCCTTCCCCAGGTTTTGGCGGGAAACCGGCGCCACCTGTCGCCATGCTCCTCACTCTCTCCGTATTTTACAGCCCGACACACTGATTTACTGGGAAATCCAGAGTGCCTTGAGGGGAGGTTGGGATAAGTATAAAATATCAATTTTATTCAGACAATTACATATTTTTCCTTATCCTGACTCATGCTTATTGCTTGAAGAATCCGACGGAGTTGGTGGTGGGTCAAGCCACTTCTGGATTCCTACTGATGAATTTACGTCCTATTTACCCCCCATGGGAACTTCTGATGGCACTGCTGCTGCTGCTGTTGATCCTTACTTCCATCTTTTTCTGATAAGTTTGGGGTTACCACAACTTGTCAGACCTGCTGGAACGTTTCTTCTGCTGACATTATGTGTGGATTTATGCAACTCCATCTCTTGATGCTTGCAAGTGGAGAGGCAATCCTTCTTCGTGTACGAGTAATTCTTTTACAAGTACAGGGTTTATCATTCATGCTGGTCTGTCCTAGACGTGCGCATGGACTCTAAAACTCTCTAGAACGTTGGCTTTGCAAGTCACGTGATAAAGGGGTGAGATCCTTCTCCGCGCCTTTGTGGAACCGTTAGTTGTGTTACCACAAGAGGTCCAATTGGTGAATTTCGGAGACGTCTTCGGAAACGATGTCTCTGGAAACGATGTCTCTGAAGTAGTGGTTGGCAAACACCGTCTCCGACTTCCAAAGCAGCCTTCCATTATCGTAGATATTGAGCAGTTTCAATGTAAGGCGAGCGTAGATGCTGATGCTCTGACTTCAAGAGGATTGGAAGCTCGTGGAGGCGCTCAAGTCCTGCTGCCTTGTAGGCTCTAAGGATGATTGCTCTCATCCAGAACGATATCGTAGTGCGTGAGATCCCTGTGGGTGTCTCCGCCGATACAGGGATGAAAAGGCGTTTGAATTTTCGTCTCCTGTTTTTAGATCTTTGTAAAAAGATTTTCAGTGCTCTGACTGGGCAAAAGGATAGGTCCTGGATATCCTGAGTGGCCCAGGGATTGATGATAATGCTGGGACGTGGGACTGTCTGTCGAGTTGACCTGGCAGTTGATCCTAGCTATGAAGTCCCATCTCAATCCCAGATGAACGATCGATGTTGTGATGTGCGTCAAACGTATACGTTCAAAGTCTAGAGCATGTATATCTGACATCCGTGTTGCTGTTGCCAAAGCGATCAGGAAGAGAGTTTCCTGTGTAAGAAACTCATAGGATGTCCTGTCTAGTGGTTCATAAGCATCACTGGTGGGAAGCTGTAGAACTACGTTAAGGTCCCAAGCCGGCGCTTTAAACTTCCTTTGTTAATCTTCCAATTTGAAGAATCGTAGTAAGGCCAGTATTTCTGGTACTTTAGTCAGTTTAACACCCGACTTCCTGGTGATTACTGAGCTGAGGGCCGCTAGGTATGTAGATAGCGTTGAACCTTTTAATTGTATTATTTGTCTGAGATGACAAAGATATTCCGCCACTTGAGGATGAGTTGCTTTCATCGCTGTGAAGCCTTTTCTCAAGGCGTATTTCTCAAAACCCTGCCACTTGTCGTTATACAAGGTGCGGGTAGATTTGCGTAAAGCTAGTGTAACTGCTTTCGCTGCTCTGGCAGAGCATTCTCCTTTCGTCAAGCAAGTCTTGATACACTCCATGTGTGTAGCTGGCACACTGTGGGTTTCCCGTGTGCTTTCTTGGTTAGCGGATGTATCAGCAGGTTCGGCCACTCTGAGAGTTGCAGTTTTGGACTTCCAAATTCATGTGTGAGAATAGAAATCCACATTGTCGCTGGCCAGAAAGGTGCGATCAAATCAGTTGCAGCTTCCTCGTCTGCTTGATCTTCTGCAACACCTGTGGTATTAGAGCTGGAGGAGGAAATGCCTAAGCGTTTAGTCCTACCCCGGAGATGCTTGGAGCATCTGTTGCCCATGCTTGTGGATCGAGAATCGGAGAGACGAATGTTGGTAGCTGTTTGTTGAATTTTGTTGCAAACAGGTCTATTAGCGGAAATCTATCGTCTGTATGATGTATCTCAAGGCTTCTGTATGTAGCATCCATTCCGTCGGGGATGGTTGTGTTGGACGAGATATGGCGTCTGCTATCACATTCTTGGCTCCAAGAAAGTGGCATGCTCTTATGTAGATGTTCATGTCATCTATTATGCTGAAAAGATGAAAGCTGAGGTCTAGTAGATATCTTGACTTTGTTGATCCTTGTTTGTTGATGTAGAATGCCACTGTGTCCGTGTGGATCATCAGTTGTGCATTCCTTAGTATGCTGAACCAGTGTAGTAAGGTCCTACTACTTTCATCTCAAGCATGTTGATATGCAGACTGCTCCTGACTCGACCATTTCCCTGCTGCCACTTCGTTGTCGAGGTGAGCTTCCCAGCCTTGAAGTGATACATGTACGTAGGGATGAGTGTTGCACTCCGCTCTGATAAGTAGATCCCTCTGCAAATATTCGACTTCCGAGTCCACCATAGAATTATGGTTTCAATCCGTCCGGTAGTCTGAAGGAGTCCAGACTATTGAAACGGGCGTTCACGCACCTAAAGTGGGCGCAATTGTAGTCTTCCTCTGTGAGTCATGTCTTGGGCTGACGTGAGAACACAGAGTAGGCTCTGCCAACTTCGTACTGGTAACGGAGAGAGTAGTGCTTGAGATATGATGGCTTGTATCTAGACACAACGATCCTCTAAGACGACCTTGTAATTTTGTGGAATCCTTGCCATGTCCGTAAAGGAAGCGAAGCAACCTCCGGATCTGGGACTGCCATCGTTGTGAAGTCTATATATAGTAGACTGGCTGCCGCAAACAAATTTCGTCAACGTATGTTGCTGCAATTCGCCGGATAAACAGTTTTCAATCTGCTGACAGGGAAGGTCTCTAAGTCCCATGAAGATGGTCAAATCACGCTGTACCCTGCTAACTGGACTGTAAACGGACTGTAAATGGAGCCCTCCTCCCATGTTGAAATGTTGTTTACAATCTGTAGACAACTTCCTGACATGTGAGCGATGTCTGACTTCTGCGCAGGGCGTTGTCTCTCATGGACCAATCAAAATGCAGCATTTTGATTCCTTTCAGATTCCCGCGATGTGATGTCACCGGTGTTGCAGGAAAAAGATCCTTGTAGAATCTTGTGCAGTCATTGATTTCTTCATCAACACTCGGCCTTGTCCGTAACTGAATGGTAAACGCGCGAAAAGATTTCGCCGCGTAATACCGATGTAGGTAGACTGACTCCCTGGCTGCTGCGACTGTTCCTTCATTCCTGAAGATAATGCAGTCGTCATCTTATACAGATGATCAGCTGAAATTCCATACTTGCTTAACGCTGTTACTTGTAGACTGTATTCATCGGTCTCAATGAAGCGTCGTAAAATAACCCCCTTTGTGTTGAATCCACAAAGGTGTTTGTAGAGTTGATACTTGCAACTTCAGTGTAAGATCTACAACGGGAGTCGTTGACGATCTTGCAGTTCACATCAATCTCTGGAGCCTTCATGAAGGGTTCTGTGTGAAGTAGTGGGAAATCCCTGGCTTGGACGTCAGGGATATGTTGACTGTGGAACTTCATAGCCTTACCAAGGCTGCGCTGAAATTCTCCGGTAGAATCTATCAAGTCGTTAGTTCTGAACCGCGACGACTTGACTGCCTGAAGATCTGCCCGTAGGTGAATGATCTGTATATGGACGTGAGTCCCTCCTGGATTCTTAAGAAACATCATTAACCTTCATGAATGTGTAGGTTCTCAGCGTCGAGGAGAGTTTTTGTGCAGTTAATCCAGCTACCCTCTTCTGATGTAGATATATCTTTTTTTGAAAACCCTGAATCCTTTCTGGAGATCAGTCTGAAGATCTGCCTGAAGATCTGCCTGAAGACCTGCCTGAAGATCTGCATGATCGAGATGAGGGTCTCGTTGATAGCTCTTGACCTGGCTAGGCCGAAGAAGGTTCGTCTGGTTACAGTGTCTAACTGTGAGACAGAGTCAATAGGTGGAATCGTGAGTGTGTCTATATCATCATTCAACATCAAGTACGAGAGTGCTTCATTGGCCTCCTTAGAGGGTAATGCGAGTTCCAAACGGTTGGCCATCCATGACTTGATTTCAGAGTCGGAAAAAAAAAATGTAATTCCGCCGTCATCTTCCGATTTAGCAGTATCATGCTCTGAGGATTGATGTCTCCTCGTGTCTGGAGATTTGTAAGGCGATCTGTATGAAGATCTATGTGATAATCTGCGTGGT